GAGCTTCGGTCCGTGTGACTGTGCACGGGAATTCTTAAGTTCTCACTGTGCTTGCGTAACTCCCCTTAAACAGATACGTCGTAACAACTCCCTGTGACTAAACCACCTCATCTTTCTTCCCAAATATCGATCCAGTGAAACCACACCTGACCTTTTTTTGCTTGAAAGAAATCAAAGACAGGAATAAAAGGCAGAAAAATGTAGCTTTCTGGGAAACTGCCCTCCTGCCCCTCCCATAAGCCAACATTTTGCCTTGGGTGAGAAGTAAATGTTAACTTTGAGTTAGGGGAGGGGTAGGTCGGTAGTTTCGCAACAAACTGCATTAATCCAACTGCAGAAGAACATGCATGGAAGAACTTGTAGCTGTGCGCCCCCATCTGCAGGAGAGATTTAGTTCAGCAAAAGCCTTTGCAAGTGCATGCGCGATTTTTGAAACAAAACGAGGGAAGTGATATTTTCTGTTGTCATCCCGGTTTAAGGCGCTACCTTTATGAGGGCGTCTTCCATTGGAGAACAGACTCCGCTACTATATGGATGCCACAGACGCAATCGGGACTTGATGGGAAGCGGTATGTCGAAACGGGACTGGCCGGGATAGCCCAGGGGTATGGTCGACGACCTTCCGTTCTGTGCTAACCCCTTTAGTTGCTAACAACCGGGCTTTGTTGTACACAAACTCCCACCATGGGAGATTCATCCCCCGTTGAATGCTGATGAACATAATCCCTGCGATGTCCCAATGGAAGTGCCCTTGGATTCGCCAACGAATTTGGAATAGTCGTTGAGGATCCCACGCAATTTACCTCGTGTTCCCCTGGATTAAGCGATAAATTTGTCGCAGAGTAGTTCAGCTGTGTGAAGGCTTCTGGGGGAAGCACTCCCCCTCCGACTGCCCCATGCGGCTCGACAGTCATTGAATTACAAGACGAAGATGATGAGTAATTCGATGCAGTTTCTGAGCTGCAGTACATTCCTCCGCCAATGCCGAAATCCCGCCCCTGGCTTCGTCCTGCCTCACCACTATGCACAGATGCGTTAATAGAGGAAGAACTGTACGCGGACGAGCCATCGCTATGTGCGACAGGCAATGTAGAAGTTTGTTTAAGTCCATGAGTGGCGATTCTTGAATCAGAATTATTACAAGTTCTCTCTGTGTTTCGCTTAAAATTCGAAGAAATGCCCGCGCCCGCGTTGCTCCAAGCCTGCGGTCCTTTTCCACCGGGACTGTCACATTCCATAGCTGATGACGTGACAGTACCGCGGTTGGTGGGGTCTGAACATGCGCGCGTACCAGTGCTGGAAGAAGCAGCGCTATTTGTGCTCGCCCCAACAGTCCTGTTCGTAGTTCCGCCCATGGCGGGTGAAGAATTAGCAGAATGAGAAGTGTTTGTGCTTTCGTCGGCAGTCTTTTTGAAGAAGCAATGTTGCAAAGCTTGGTAAGGCGCTATACGCGCCTTGGGGTCAAATTCTAGCATGCGCAAAACAAGGTCTTTGAATTTTAAATAGTCCTGGAGCGTGTGCCCAGATTCTCCCTGTCTCCGCCCTCCCGGGCCACCTGTCTCACATCCTAAAACATCGTGGAGCTTCCGTGTTCCGGGGGGTCGATATTCCTTGGGGAAAACACAGTTTTTACGTAAATTATAGTCTTCTAGGAAAACCAGACCCTAAGCAGACAGGGCCTGTGGATAATTCTTCTTAAACGAATAGGCTGGGAAGCACTTGTTTTATCCAAAGCGCCTGAGGCGCGACAAAGCTTAACCTGTGAATACAGCCTTCTCTCCTTGCTCCCTGATCCTAGAAACGACTCTGGCGGCGAGGAGCGAGGGAAGAAGGCTGTATTCGCTGGCTAGAGAAAGTTTGAGGCAGAAAAAAACGGTGGAGATGGAGGCAGAGGTTCAAGAACCATAACCTGTGAGCAAGCTCTTAAATGAGAGAGCTTGCTTGCAAACGAGCAAAACCGTCTTTAACTGTACACTTCGAATGACTGAACCGATTTGTTCACGACAAGGTGAACCCGTGTGAGCCGACAAGACGTATCGGAGATATGGGATAGACATGTCTCCTTTGCCTGCTCTCTTCAGGATTTACAAGGAGAAAAAGTCATGCTTTACAGAGCAGAAATACAGTAAAATCTGTATTTAAGCACAACCACTAAGGGCCATACGCTTGAAGGCTTAACTACGTGTGATCTCCAAGAGAGGATACGAGACAATTCGGTTCTGTGATCTCTTCTTTTTCTCCATTGAGATAAACAACAAAAAGCGTGGAATATCGCTTTTCGCGTGGACACACAACGCGCGCAACGCATCAACAGGAATCAATACGACTGAAGAAAAAGTATATGAAATTAATACATTTGCTTACCTTCTTTCCGTCTTTGCTACTCTTACAGACGTAGCTGCCATCTGCCAATCGATCGAAAAACTTTCTAGCCTTGGGGGCACCCTCTAGCATGTGTTTCGGTGGAAGGCCCAAAACCTCCACAATTTTCATCATTTGATCAAACTACAACAAAAAAAAGCAAAGTGAACAATTTGCTCCATTTGAAAGCTTTTAACCGGCGCTGAGAGACTCGAGATAAACGTGATGATGTTTTCTGTCATAATAGTCGCCATGAAAGCGGAACTTTCCTGTCAGACTTTTAAAGAAAACACTTCATGTTCTGATTGTGACTAGAATGGATACCTCTCACCTCCTACATGGCACATGGCATGAGTTTCAAATCCCGGCGTCGCCGCCATATGTTGGTTGTTTCCCTTTTACCTCAGGCTACTTCGGTTTTCCCCTCTCCCCAAAAACCAACATTTCCAAATTCCAGTTCGACCAGGAATCAGGTAGACCAAGAACCATTAAATCATTATTTATTTCTTCATTTAAACTCTGCAACTCTGTTCACAGCGAATTTATTCGCCGCTTTTCTTTCTTGTCGGTCTTAGCTTATGATCTTTGGGGGGAGGGAGGGGTTAAATTTTGTGTCACAAACGTCCCCATTTATTTTTACCTTGTAATTCTAGTGACTATTTTTAGCTTTCTTACTCTTTTATATAAACCATAGTATGATTGTAATTTTTAGATTTACTATCGTTCTGACGTACTATCTCGTAAATTAATAATGACTGTCACTTAAAAGCCCTCTTTACCCTCTTTAGGGAGTGTCATTAAAGTTTGTATGATATTGTATTTATTATCCGTTTATTTATTTACTTATTTGTTCACACAGTAATTTTCAAGGAGTTATAATAACTCCTCTAGTGGGGCTAATTCAACTCTTTACAGTGGAGTTATTTTGGGGGGAGTTATTTAACTCCAAAAACTCTTTTTCAGGAGTAAAAGTGACCCAAGATATTGAGGAGTTAAAATAACCCCAAAAAAGGAGTTATCCTGTACCTAAAATTTTTACTCTACTTTCAGAGTTAAATTAACTCCAAAAAGAGTAAAAACAACCCATGTAAGGAGTAAAATTAACCCCATTTCGGAGTTATTTTAACTCCAGACTGGGAGTAAAAAGAACTCTTTTTCAGGAGTAAAAATGAACCCAAATTCGGAGTTAAATTAGGAGTTAAAATAACCCCAAAAAAGGGGTTATCCTGTACCTAAAATTTTTACTCCATTTTTGGAGTTATAATAACTCCCTCCAAATTACGGTGCAATTTTTATTAGTACTTCATGTAATTCTCACCTCGTTCGCCCCACTGAAGAGCGGTTCTCCGGTATGCATTTCCACAAGAATACAACCCAAACTCCACATGTCGATAGCGAGATCGTAAGGTACACCAAGAAGCACTTCTGGTGAGCGGTAAAACCGGCTCTGGATGTATTGATAGATCTGCGTACAAAGAAAGCACGTATTAGAAAGAAGCTTGAGGTTTAACCACCATAAAACCTTCCACTGACTGTTTACAGTCCACTATTTTTCCGTAAGATCCTCTAGATTCTGGAACGCTCATAGTTACGGCAACTATCTTGGTTTCAAATGCACCAAGGGGAAGCTCGCCTCCTAACATTTTGAAACCACGATGAATAGACCGCCCGCAACGCGACGCGCTCGGTCTCGGCGATCTTACGGATAAATAGGGGAGTGTGAACAGTCTAACTTCACAACGTTCCTCTTATATTTCGAGTTTTTAAGGGAGCTGCAATCAATTTACATTTGAATGACACCTTGTAACAGCCTTCATGTACGAGTTACAAGCGAGGTAAAATTATTTTAACGCATCCATTCACGAAACAAATTGTTGATAACTTTGCGAAGTAGAGCGCCACTGAGCCTATTCTAAGCGTGTTCACAATTACGAAAGAAATTTTTGATTAGCTTGCGCAGCATAGCGCCGATCAGCCCATTCTAAGCGTTTGTACAGCGTACGAAAACAAATTGTCCATCACCTTACGTATCATAGCACCAATAAGCCTGTTTTAAGCCTTCACACAGTGCACGCAACAATAGTTATTTAGCTTGCGTCGTATAGCGCCACTTGCATGTTCTGTGTGTTATAAGCGTTAACACAGTGCAGAACAGGACGGAATGAGAAGGACAGCGACAGAAAAAATAACCAAGGCAGGGAAAGGAAGCCCTCCTATGGTCTCTCCAATCTTCCACCGTTTTAATCGCTCCCGTTTATTGTCGATACCTCGAGAATCTGGACCTGGAACTAGAGCTGGCTAAGGGACATTGTAACTAGAGAGTTTTCCGCTCTTCAGCGGGTGCAAAAGTTGGCGCGTGAACAAATAATGAGGGATTTTGCTTTATTCAGCCACGAAGCGGAAGACTCTTCAATGCCGCCAAAAGGCTTGCCAGGCAGACTAAATGTCGATTTTAAATTGCTAGTTCCTCCAAGACAACTCATCACAAATCAATTGAAGTTGTATAAATAGAACACGTCTCATGAAAAGTAATATCTTTAGAACACTTGTCTGTCGTGTCAGGGTAACAAAGTTGACAGCTGTCAAATAGGTGCCTTAATTTAAATAATAGTAATAATAATATAAAATAATAATAATAATAAATATAATAATTTATTTCTCGCGCATTACATGAAAATCTCGATGCTCTTTCAATATGAAATCGAGACCGAAAAGTTTAACAGAAAATTGCAAAAATTCTAGATAATTAAAAAGTACTGATTCAAACTATTATACAGGCTCGCAATAAATAGAAGTTTTAAGCCTGGTTTTAGATGACTAAGCAGACGCAGGGATTCTCACATCAAGATAGCCTGCGTAGCAGGCGATAGGAAGTAAATGAGCACAAGAAAGAACGTGCGCGTGTCTCCTTCTCGCGCGCGCGTTTTTTCTTGCGCCCATTTAATTCCTAGCGCCTGCTACGCAGCCTACATCAAGACGAAGATTGTTCCAAAGGTCAGGTGCGCAAGATGAAAACGCGTGACCACCATAATTCTATGTAATTGCCATTTTCTTCAAGCTGAGCTTCAAAAGTGAAATGTAAACAGGAATAACCAATTATGAAAATTGACCCCGCAGGCCAAAAAAAGTTATTCCTCTTCAGTTTAGGCTAAAGGAAGAGGTAACTGTACTACATTATGCCAGGAAGTTGACGTCTTCTTTTCAGAACGCACGTTACTTAACTAACTTTTATCCCAAGCCCAGTTTAAACCAAACCGTCGACAGTGGCAGGCTGCAAGGATTATTCCTTCGATGAAATCAATTCGTAATTCGTTCAGGTTTTATTTTATTCTTATCTTACATTACCCGGGAATAGTAGTGTCGCCAAGCAGTCTGACATTAAAAAAAAATAGCTAGAGGCAATTATGAGTCAGATGTGAACATTTATTTTTTGGCTATATTTCCAAGTATCGCCGAGTGTTTTGACCTTTTATGAGAGGAAATAATTGCACTGGGGTCTTTTACTAAAAGATCAAGAGAAATGAAGTGAAAGAAGAGGAAGTTAAAACACGCTCTCTCTCAACATTTCAGTTTTTAATGTTCTTGAAAACCGAAAAACAATATTGAAGGAAGGAAAATAAATAGACTGTCATAGTTTTTATTTAGTCAAAAACAGAGAAAATTTCAGGAGAGAAACGAAGTCCAAACACCTTTCTTTAATCAATAATGCAAAATGTGTGGTGGAGCCAACAATATTATACCCACAAGTTAATTTGCATAGATTCTAGACACTTTTCAATTAAAACGCAGCTTGGTTTGTACGGTGCGACTGCAGGGATTGGTGGAATCGACGGGCAGTTGTTCAAATATTGATGTCTATTGTTTTACTTGTCCTGTATGGCATTGTTCTAGACTATTGTCTTTACAATTCATTATAAATCAGCTGTCATTAAAACACGAGTTGGCCTGCGGAGAATATTCACTTTGATATTGAAATGTGTTGCGCCTCTCGCTCGCTGTTTCCCGCGTAGTTTTTAGCAGTGTTATTAACAAATTAATTTCGTGAAAGTCCTAGCCTCCACCGCTTTGCCCTGGCATCTCTACATGGATTATTTCACATTTGAAGTCTTGTAAAAATAAATCCAATTTCGCCCAGCCTGCACAGATATCTACCTCGATATTTTATTGATTTTCTACGGCTAAATGACAGGTTTATGAATGGGAGATCGCCTTCTTATACCATCTCTTACCGTGAAATATAAGCTTGCTTGTAATGTGCCATAACACCCTCTAAAATTAAGTGCTACGCATGAGGTGTTGTGTGGAAAGAAATCCAACATTTTCTGCCTAAGACAACAACCAAATGAAGCCTGCAACTTAACTCTTTTTCTTTAACTGAACTTGTTTCGTCAACCCTGTTTTCGTGCAGATTAAGGGTAACGTGTCAAATCTCAAACATTTACCGTAAACAAACTCCAGCATACAAGGTTTATGAACTGCCTTGCATTCATCATGACAAACAAAGAGTAATTATAATAACAGTACGAGGCCAATACGCAAATATTTGCATCTAAAAACAAAAAGCTCACTCCACCGAAACAAAGCATGCATTAGTATTGACATTTTTCATGGTTGTCACTTGAAATCGAATTCGGGCATAACCAATTTCCTCGGGACGGACATGATAGCACCTCAAATGCATTTGCTACGGCCCTTGAGAAAGCAACGAAATTATCCCAAGGCGTTGTTTATCCAACACCAAAACCCAACAGACCGTGGACGGAAAAAACATAAGGTAATGACAAGAAAGTATAAAGGGGGCGGTGGTAGGGGTCTTTTCCCGAACTATTTTGTGCTTTTTCCACACGACTACATTTAATAGTTCTAAAGTTCGCGTAGGAATGCAAACTAGCGCATTTACAGTTACCGTTCACATGCGAAAGGTTCTAAAGGGGTTAATACACTCTCGTGAAGAAAGCAGTAAATTTCCTCGTAGACCTTGTCTTAGAAACAACTAACTCAATTATTTTTAAATGCTCTTGCCTGTAAATTTAGCTATTAGACTTAAGAAGTTAGGATTTATTTATCTGTAACGCCTAGAAAACAAAACTGCCTCTTGTTTGAAAAGATCAGCACATTTTAACCGGACCATGGCATATAAAAATTACAGACCTTATAGAGTTGTTCTGGTCAGTTTCTGATTATGAAGGGTTTAAAGGATTTTTAACAACTACCCAAACCTTACTTTTCTACCGAATAATTTGACCCGTTACTCGTGTGTAGGTTAAAGTAACGCAAAAGCTAACAGAAACAATGACCCAACCCCTCCCGCCTCCACTACTGATATTTATTGACTAACTTATTGGTACTTAATTTCGCGGGTTTTTAATTTCGTATTTTTCGCGACTGCAAAAAATTGCCAAAATAAAGACCTGCGAAATTGAAGACTTATATAGAAAACTCAAATCGCAGAAAAAATTAGTAACTTATAATAGCAACAAACTACATGATATCTATCGAAAATATAACTTGTTAACTGCTTTCACTAGTAAGCTCCGTTTTGTATCTTCAGTAAGTGAAATAGCGTTAATTTATGAAGCTTTAACACTTTGTTTTTCCAGTTTACCTTGAGATTTGGAAACTTTCAGACTCTTTTAGAAAATAAAGTGAAGCTGAGAACGCTTAAATCGAGAATATTTCGCATTTGCGTGTTAAAATCGTGAAAATAAAACCCCGTGAAATACTCTCTCGCCAAAATCGCGAAGCTAAGTGCTAATAAGACAATCTCTTATTACGCACCGAGAGTACAGAACAGCTTTCCCCATGGCATGTATTATGCTTTATCTCACGCCATGCATAATACAGCCAATCAGCAAGTTAAAACACGTTGCATATTCTGCGGTACGCAACGAATTGTATTCTCAAAAAATCCCAGTGATCTTTGCAGCCTAATCATTTTCCCGCCGAAAACAGAGCAGATAGCGACAAGCAATACTGGTCATTCGACAAAAATATGCCGGAAGGGACTTTGTATAAAAAGAAAAAAACCCGAATTTTAACTTTCATTTCGACTTCTTAGAAGGGCAAGTTGCAATATAAACAAAAACAATCAGGCTATAACGGACAAAGTAGTCAACGAATTTATTTAAGCGATTAAAAAACAAACCAGTTAACCAGTGTTGCAAACACCAAGTTGGAACCAAAGAAAACCATATTTTGAAACAAGAAGCCCAACTGAAACCCGCCAGAAACACACGACAACCGTCTTTTGTCCTTTTCATGACGATGCAGGTAAACTGAGCAGGCAGAGGTGAGTAGTCAATACAAACTTGATTCATTGACAAGCTGTCGATCAATTTTGGATGTTCTTGGTTACAGATTATATATTTAGTATTAAAAGTGACTTTTCATTGTGTTTACTTCTGATGTAGATGTTTCTTTACATCGTCACTATGAGTAGCATGGGAAAAATTTAATTAGTTATACTTTTACGAAGTATGACCACTCGTGACTTGGCGTTTTTTTTTTGTATAAACACTCGACTAAAGGCTGGTGTGTATACACGTACAATAAAAAAGACTGCTAGCAGTATGTAAAAATTAAGTCAATCAAGGGATATTCCACGACAGTATAAACTTCCGGTAAAGGTTGAGGGAGTAAGGGAAAGCGGGGGTGCCGGGAACGGAGCCTTTTCGAGGGAGACATATGGAGAGGTATAGAACACAAGCTAACAGCGAGAAAGAAGTTTCTATTCTTTAAAAAAAAAAATAGAAAAATGAAGTTAGAGACTCGTGGTCTATTCAAAATGAAATGCAAGAAGGTTAAAAGCTCTGCACATCCGCCCCCGGGGTGGTACACACACTCATTGTCCCGTCTATTATAATATACAGATTTGGAATCACGTTTGCGGCAACAGTTTTCCGACGATTCCTGACATTCCTAAAATTACGAAATGAGCCAATAAAAACTGTCAAAAGCAATTCTTATGGACGAAACTGGCATGAATCTACTCATTTCTGTGTAGAAATGATGAACAGTAAACGACAAGAGAAGGAAAAACTTGGTCACGCGGTACAGACTGACGTTTGCGTAATGTACGTGTTATTACTTACTGTGCTATAGCACTGTGGTTTCAGCTCGACAAGTAAAAACTATCAATACTGCTTAAAAGGCAGCCAGTTGAAGCTAAAAAGCTTTTATATTTAGACAATATGTCTTGCTAAGAAGAGGATATCGAAGTCTGTCCGCGAAATGCTTTAGTTTTAACAGAAGTGAGTGCATTGTGGTTGGCGTATTAGGAGACACCACTTCCAAATACATATTACTATATCTCTTCATCTAGAAAAAACAACACATTGTGCGCAAACATTTCTTTTCCTTTTAAGATAAGGTGGTCAAATCCAAGAATATCAATTGACTCCTTCAATCCGAAAAACAAACAAAAAATTAACCAAAACAAATATATTTTTATATCCGCAGTGATCTGTTGAAGACATCACGGGACACATTCTCAACAAAACCTCAGTTTGCGGGAGGAGTTCTCGACACATTGTTGAAATTTTAACAAATCATAGCCTTTACATTCTCATTCTCTAGATTAGTTTTCTGAAAAATTGTGTGACTCGGTTTAAAGGCGAGCTCGCGCGCCGCGCCAAATTTGTTAACAGATTAAAAAAACTGTGGGGAACATAGGTATGGCGTTCTCGTAACGAATGTAATTTGGATTTTGCAAACGAGTATTCGATTTTCGATCCATTTAATAAGATTTTTCATCAGATTTAATAACAAACCAATCTTGGATTGAAGTCTAAACGATCGTGCGTTATAGCTAAACAGTTCAGATTGTATCTCGTTCTGATTTCAGACGATGTTTGACATATATAGCACCTGCACAGAGCCAACCAACGAAAATAGAGAGATTGCCTTGACCAAACAGCCTAAAGACGGTCAATCTATCGATTCGACCTCTCTAGATTACGTAAATCGGAATCTAAGTGGTCTGAGAGAAACGTCACTAAACACACAGGACAATCGTGATTGGCTTATCCCCAAAAACTTGCTTTAGGCTGCTAGTTATGATGTCAGAATTTCTTGTGTTAATTTTGTCTGTTTTGATTTGCGGTGAGTAATATCTGGCTTCTATCATTGGATTTTAAAAGGATACTGTGAAACAATTTTCTAGTGAAAATACGATCAGAGAATTTTACATAAGGTAATTTTAAGAATTCGCACATCTCTTCCAAAAAGATATAACGTATTTTCAGCGAATCAGAACGAAGCAGAAGTCACTCCTTTTCAAGCCCTTGTCGCCTTTTCCAAGTTGCAAAAACTCTCACTTTCACAAAGAGGCTCAGTGCAAAATCTTTCTGGTGAAAATGAGTTTTAATTGCATGAGAATAAAAGCCTATTTTAATTTAATGGCTTTAACCTTAGCCTTGCTTGAAAACATAAGCTTGGAACAACTCAAAAATTGCCTACTGCTTAACGCCAGTTGCAGTTTGCCAGCGTTTCAGACAAAGTGCAGTTTTCCCGCGTTGGTCACGACGTTCAGTTTCCCGCGCTTAGCTACAATTGCACCTTTTGTTTCAGGTTCTCATAGATCTTTCCATCTTCCATGATATTATTTTCAGTGCAGGTTTGGCCTTGTTTTCAGAAATCAAACTTTAATGCTCTCTCTTCTTGAAAAAGCACTTCACGCGCTTTACGACAATTTCTTATTAACTCTCACTGTCAAGAAGGAAAGGCTTAGGGTTAATATTGCTTCATAACAAATAGAAATCAGGCTTTAAAACCCAAAACGAAAGACCTAACCCACCTTTATGCCACCGAACCCACGCGAAAGTCTAGAATTTTGCAGGACAAAGACGTTATTTTTAATATTCAGTTAAGACCAAGAGTATTGGTCCTGCCTTCGAATATGATGAAGAGGCTCCCCCTGGCCCGCGTGCAGCGCCCCCCCCCGGCCCCCGCCGACCAAGAGGGACGAGAGGCTCTGTCAACGAGAATGTAATCACCAAGGAACTAGCAAGCAAACCCAAACGTACTTCCGGTCGTCGCTTCTCTCCACCCAGAAATGCGGAAATGAGTCTGGGTTCAAAGGCTACAGGAACTAACACTGTCATAAAATAAAGCAAAGGATACTTACCCTTTGTCCTAGCTGGCAGGAGCTTCCGAAATCCACAATCTTGATAGCACTTCTCTTGGGATTACACAGCAAAATGTTCTCGGGTTTCAAGTCACAGTGAATAATATTAAGTTCCGGAGTAGAAAGATAAAGCAATGCCGTACACATCTGCTGAGCGAATTTCCTCGTTAGGTTTAATGATACTCCTCTAAAGTTCGTGTTTCGAAGAAGGTCGTACAAGTTGTACGATAAAAGTTCAAAAACTAAGCACAGATGATTCCTGTACATAAAATGTCTTCTGAGTCGCACTGTTGGAAAAAAGAGATAGACACTGTCAAAAATAGTGTTCACAGTCCTCTATTTTTCCGTAAGATCGTCGAGATCGAGCGCTATGTGTTACGGGCTGCCATCTTGCATGAGTGTCAAAACTACTTAGGGGGCGGGAGCGGTTTGGGGGAAGCAAGCCCCCTCCCCCCCCCCGCCAACAGCTATAATCCCCGACGCCCGCCCCCTCGGTACATTTGCACAATCAAGATACCCGTGACGGTAAGACGCAGTATATCGAAACGATCTCACGAAAAAATAGGGGACTGTGAACAGTCTATGTCAAAAACTAACGCACACTGAACGTACGCCCCACCGGAGTTTACGCATTAGAATTCTCGTCCCTCTCTCTCACAAATACGACCATTTTGGATTGGCACATAAATAGAAAAGAAAACGAAAACGACACTACTTTCGCAGAGCTGTGGCATTTGCTGTCTCGTTCTCATTCTCCTTAATTTTACCTCTTTTTCGAAATTTTTGAGCAACCTTAACATGTTTTGCTTCATCTGCACAATTTTTCTCCCTTAAATGCTGTTACGTTTCCAGCGCTTCGCATTAAGGACCAGCGGTATTAAGGCATAAGAGGGGGGGGAGGGAATCAGACCATTTGACTTTTTTGATGGGTGGGAGGGGGGCTTGGTGATAAGTTCAGACATCATGTTCTTTTCCCAGCCTTCTGATGTGCAGTGGTCGAATTTATTTCCTTATTTTTTGGCGTTATCTTCCAGGTCTGTTCGCAGGATATTTAAATTTTTCGCAAAAAAAACATCGCCCCATCCCACCCCCTCAACAGTCAACGGCCGGCCCCTAGGGAACGACAAATCAGGAAAATAATTTAAAATATTGTGGCTTTCGTTAACACATTCCAGGGCACTTCGCACTGGCCGTATGATTTCCAACAATGATCATCTCTTGATTTCTCCTCATATCAAAATCAGGCACGCAAGGACCGAGAAAATTAACACATTCCAGGGCACTTCGCACTGGCCGTATAATTTCCAACAATGATCATCTCCTGATTTCTCCTCATATCAAAATCAGGCACGCAGGGACCGAGAAAAGAAAAGCTCAGGAAAAGTCCATAGTCCAAAGCGGGACGCAGATATGGACCAAAGTCCTTTCCCTACTAACTGTGTTGCTTTTGGCAAAACCCAGGATCATTTCCTCGAAATAAACCTGTTTTCAGAATACAGTATTACTGTTTTTACCAATTAAAATGATAACTTACATTGAACTTTAAACGTAAAAAAAGGTCAATAGGGAATAAAGGACAAAAAACGAGTGCTTGAAGAAAAAAATGTTTAGCGCCGAACATTCACCCACGTGTTGATATTTGTGTGCGTGAGCTCGATCGATGGCAAACGATAAATCTTGGGCGCTCTTTTAGCCGAAATAGTGTTTGACAAAACTTGAGTGGAAATCGGAATCAGCTTGGAATGGCCGATGTAAAAAAATCGTCAAATTTGGGGACCTTGAGCAGTTGCTCCTAATACACAAGTGTAATTTAAGATTTGCATGTTCTGATTTCAGTACGAGATCCGGCCTAGCTAAACAAAAGTGGGGGGGAAAGATCCCCCCCTCCCCCCCCCCCCCCCAATTCATAAACGTACTTTTTCCACCGGATACCTTACAAATTTTCTGGTTCATAAACTGATAGGATTTCAATCTTAGAGAAATTATTTAAAGGGGCTGTGTCATGGCAGTCCAGTTCATTTTGTTTCATTTTGCCAATTACTTGCCCTCTATCACTATGGAACTTAAAGTAAGCAAAGTTATACTACTACATGAGAAATTTCTGCAATTTGATTGGCTTAGAGCAGTGGTATTTCAGCTTAATTCGAAATACCTACATGTGAAAATTTCAAACCTTTTGCGGGTAGTAGTATAAACAAATAATAGCATAATTTGTACGTGATATTTGGCATAAATACCACTCGTGATATTACAAAATTGTCTCAAATTTCACTCGCCTAACGGCTCGTGAAATTACGTATAACAATTTCGAAACATCACTCTTAGTATTAATGCCAAATATCACTACAAACCATGCTATTACCTATACAAATTACATGGAAATGACAAAATCAGAGATTCGAGACAAACACATATGTCTCGTGAGCATTATTTTTGAAGTTGCAAACAGCAGAGATCAACTTTAAAAAACTGTTAGGCTGAACAGTTTTCAAAACCCTAATTTAAATCCGTTTCAATCTGCTTCAGTTTTGCCCATCTGTTACATCTGTTGTATCTGTATCTGTTATTTTTACGTGTCTCTTAATTTAACAGGCATTTTGTAATTTCCTAATTTGGCTGAATTTCGTGACACAGCTCCTTTAACACTGCATTCTCCAACATGCAACGCATTTTACGAAGTGTTCGCCTCCTATCCAAATTAGTGTATTATATCACGAAAAGTTACATGCGAGAGGGTAAAAGTTATAACGTGATGAGAACTCCAACACAACGAAAAGCTCTGGAAACGGGAAAAAGCTACCCTGACTGCAGAGGTCCGTTCACGAATGATGTAAACCGTGCGCACGTAAGGAAGTAGAAATCAAAGGAAACCTCTGGCACCCCGGGTAGGAGAACGCGTTCACGGTCACTTCATGTTATTTCCCTAGTCGTTTAGCTCCTGGCCAGATTGCTCCATATCATCATCATATAATTTCAGAAAAATGGCCTGCACACATACCTACAGGTTTACTCTTTCTTTTGTTCTTTCATCAGGGAGTAACAACCTCAACATAATAATTTTACTCGTGATTTTTGCAGGCATGGCATCAAAATTTCTAAATTTAGTCTTGAACAACAAAACTTTGACTCTGAAGATGACTACCGCACAGGTTGTCGAAACGTCAGTCACTGTCAACAACAACAGTCCTATTCAGGACTACGTTCACCCGGACGATCAAACTCAACCTTTTGGATTATTATTGTTGGAATTCGATAGATGCGGGGAAAAAAAAGTTCCAGCTGTTTAAAAAGATGGCAAGTAGCGTGACATAGCTACTTTAAGTAGGGGGGATCCCCCACCCCCGGGCGTTTGTTATACTGTCACCTCGGTTACAAAAGGGTTCGTTATGTAACAAGATTCCACTCTATTGACTACGATTTCTTACCTATGTAATATTTTCCCTCGGGATCATGTGCGTTCATAAGTTCAAGCAACCGAACTTCAATCTGGGCCTGATTTAAAAATGGCTTTTTATTCTTGATGATTTTAATGGCGATGTACTCTTTTTCTTGATGGTCGTAGGCCTTGCAAACCTAAAATAACAGAAAGAGTAAAAAACATGTAATTGATATCGCTGTTTGTCGACTGAAATGCGCGCACTCGTTGTTGTTGCTCCTTACAAATCACTTCCAGCTATCACCGGGAACTCGTTTCTCCAAAGCAACAAAACGAAACTTAATAGAAGAGTACGATATCTAAGGCGATTTAATTTTTGTACTGACTTCTCTGGGTAAAATCCCAATTTCAAATAAAACAATAGTTAAAGACAACTCAAACAAAAGCATCTTTTTCGCAATAAACTCAAGAGAATTTGTGCGTTTTGGTAGGTCAACTTTTAGATCAAATCTAGCCTAGTTCTAGGAATACTGTACATATTAAAAACAATAATGTTAACAACAGGCTATACCAAAATATATTGACGGATTAACATTTGAAAAAAATCTGAATAATCTTAACTTCTCGTGCGGAAGACAGCAAACCCATAGGGAAAACCCCTTCAAACGAAATTTGCATAAAAGGAAAAACCTGCATTTTAATTGACTTATTTCAAAAATAGAGACAATTGTCGACTGATAAAAAGCTCTTTGTTTGCCTACAGCTTTGCAACAAAGAAAGAAACCATTTAAAACTGATGTTTAAACATTTGAACCGAAATTGGTTTTCTTTTAATCCCATGGCTGAAGTTTTCTGATCAAGCTGTAATTTCTCATTTCAGCAATCAAGCTACAATAAACAAGTTAACAAAAATAATGTAAAAAATATATCTTAAAAAAATTGTGACAAAACTAAGTGGGAAAAAATCTGTTTCATTTATGGTTATTTACTTGTCACTCCATCAAAAACACATAAAAACACAATTTATAAGGATGTTCTAAATACCTGACCAAAAGATCCCTTTCCAATCAATGACTCTATTTCATAACGATCAAACCACTTTTCTCCCGCTTTTATAACATAGTCAAAATTTTCATCATCATATCCATCATTGTATAATCGCCTTTCTTTCTTGTGTCCACCCTCTTCATTTTTCTCTAACTCCTTCCGTTTCTTTTTCTTAGCATAGTACACCTTAAAAAAAATATATAACAACCTGGTAAATGACCTCACTCACCATGAGTTTCCCTGTAGTCCAATGGTTAAAGCAGGTTGTGTCTCTATATTACTAAACCATGCAGGCTTACAAACCTTTACACATACCATTTACTTTGGCAAACGTTCCCTTCCTAAAGGACAATTGTAGTAATTGACACACGCTAGTCTAAAGGGTCCTTTACTAGCCCTAGGCTATCAGACTCTGCACTCTGCAACCTACCATAGGGAGTGGAAGCTTCGGTATGAAAGGGGAAAGGTTTGTTTTTTCACATAAGTAGAGGTGTAAATTCAGTGTGTAAATTGGGGTGTAAATTGAGGTGTAAATTGCAGATTTTGGTGCCATGAAGGGCATTCAGTACAAGTTATACCAAGGTATAAGCAGAGTATCTAGTTGTTATTCACCAAACATAGGGTCAAGATGGGTAGATATTGACCATGTTAGTTCTTACATCTTATAAACTGAGATGACGCTAGGGTCAATAAAAATGCAAAAAAATAAATAAAAAAATGAGGCCAATATCCAGCCATCTTAGTGACTGAACAAGCTTTGTGATGGCTAAAAAGAGTACTTTTTCTTGCGGGACCAATGCACAAAATAGGCCATCTTGCCCACAAGGGTAGACGCAGGATTTGCTTCATCTTGCCTGGTTATGAATTCAACCATACAAATTGATTTGAGGAGAAATTTCACTGCTTTTTACATCTAATTTAATCTAGCCTGCGAACAAGCTCCCAAATGGCGCGGGACGAAAAAAGAAAAAAGGGAGCAAAGTGGGGTAGAGAAAAAAAAAGCGGGGGAGCATGAAGACTTTGTTTTGATGTCGATCAACCGCCCACTTGCAATTATCCTGTAACATATGTGTCAATAACATGTCAATAAGGTAATTAGACCTGTCAAATTATGATGTTTTTAGGCTTGAATGCATCAGCTTTGATAACATTCGCGTGCATGAGGGTATTACTCATTGCTCACTTGTCAACAGTTACAGATCTGACCAATCAGATTGTGATACCAGAATCTGTAACATGAATGGTTGGCATCAAAAGAAAGTCTACAGGCTCCCTCGCCTTTTTCTGCCCCAGGCCACACTCAGCTTACTTTCATCGCCGATTTTCTTTTTTGGTCCGCTCCACTTGGGAGTCTGTTCGCATTTAGTCTAATTTACATGTGTCTCAAAATGATACCATCAGACATTTTAATTACCTCATTAATATGCTTGTAGGTTTTTATCAAGTCCACACTGAGCTTTCTAAGGGGTGCAGAGCTTGGGTCACGAAACTTGGTTGGAATTTTGCTGTAGAAATTTTGAACTCCAGCAAAATCCACATCATCAGGTTGTTGATCTTCTATTTTCCCAGCAATGTAATTCATGTCAGGAGCTAAGAAATTTGCTTTTGCCTGGTCGTCATTGCTGACTGAATGAAAAAGGAAAAAGCACTGAGTTACTTTTACTTAATAGTAACAATCACAAAGAAGGGGTATTTTGCAGAACGCAAGAGGTGAGCTGCACACCCAATGACTCTGAAGTTTACTGATTAGGGTAACAAAACTGAGTGAAACAAGTTCCTGTTCAGTCTGTAATGACCCTTACTGGAACTTGATATGCTCAGTTCTCTAACCAAAGTCTCTAACTTCAGAGACACTTCAGGGTTTAGCCTTCTGAAAAATAACCTAGCCAATATAACCATAGAGTAACTGCTACATGTAAATAATCTCTCTTCCAACTGCCTTATGACACAAAATCAGATACAATACCAAGAATTTGGCTTAAATCCTAAACATGCTAAGTTAAACAGTGCTAAATTTACTTTTACAAAGAAAAAAAGGGCTCACCTTTGTCAGAAGTTGCACCCCTTAAAGGATCCATCAGCCTTCACAAAGCATCTTAGCTACAGAAAAAATAAATTTCTCTCTAGTTAGTTGACTTTTTCTCACACTTTTTTTTACATCTAAAAAGTAGACTTTCTTATGGTGCTTTGAAATGCTTTGGTCCAACTGAACTTTTATTTTAATGAAAGGGTCTTTTTATTCACAAATAAGAGGAATTTATTCCAGTCCATATTCTTTGAAAAACATTCAGGCTTCCAGGGGATTTATATGGGTGATCCTGAGAGACTGGTTAAATACAGAATGACATCACAGAATCAGATCAAGGAGGTATCATAAGAATAAATCTGTTCTGAAAGGATCTTCCATGGAAACAGTTTAAAGAATTTGAGGGAATTGCTTGCAAGGAGCAAATAAATAAAAATATTATGAGACTCAAAATCGCCACTGAGTACTTTCACGAGGGCATTGAAAATGAAGTACTCTTAGTAGTGGCTCAAGGAATACTGCGCAAGTGGAATTGGTGACCGCAATAAAAGTGATGTTATTCACAAAAGAAACTAAGTAACACAAATTTTTAGGTTGAATTCAAAGCATTTTAGTGTTTGTAAACCAGAAATAAAATATTCCCAAAGGAAAGTGCAGTTTACACGAGTTGTCATCAGCAATGCCATCCCTAGATCTGGGCCAAATTCAACACAAGAAATTAATTAAAAATGGCAAAAAGTATTCACATTTAACACTTTGATAAAGCCTTAATTAAATTGTTTGAAGTGCCACTGCCAATAAAACACCAATTTGTCAAAACTCAGTCATGATCACAACACCATGCTCCAGAAAAATGTTTCACATGAAACATATTACTACATTGCCATAAGACTAAATTCACAATGTGTGCAACATTTGATTGTCTAATGGCAATTTTCTAATGAACAACAATAATAATAATCATAATGGTGAAAATCTAGGAATTAAATGTCAAACTAAACTGATGTCCAACAGTTTTCTAGATTAATAATAGAAATCTTCACTGATTTTATATAACAAAAAAGTTCTGTTATTAAGTTAAAATCTGGACAGCAAAAAATCTCTTTCGTATAGTCAAAGGCATAAACTCGAAAACATCATTTCAAAAAAAATTTGGATGAAAAAAAGGATTAACTTTAACTGGCTTTTAAGTCCAAAAATTTCCACTTACAAAGACACACCTTGCAAGAAAGGAATTACTAGAGCATAAATTTTAATGCAATCACCATGTGAATCTTGGCATTTACATGTATTGAAAGCTACCTGTTATAAAACTACCTACAAATCCTATTGTTGCCAGTTTTCTAGCCTAGGTGATATCAAAGATATAAGTTGCATCCTTTTTTGGTACAAAATGGATTTTTCACTCACATCTTTGAAAAAAAAACTGCACATTTTCACGCACAACTCTTCACAAGTCAACCACAAGCCTTACTACTGCTTAATACTGATGAAATTTTAACTTTTTTGTGGTATCGACTCACATTCAGAGAACTTGCAGTACGACAGTTTTCTTCTTTTTCTGCCAAGGAAGGACATTTACAATGACACTTGATCAAAGCCAGAGGTTAAAACTTTGCAAGATCAACTCCAGGCCTGCTTCATAAAAGTATGCTTTGATTGATGCAAGAGAAGTTTCATTGACCAACAAGTGACTGTGATGTATTTAATAATAAATCAAGAATTTAAACCAATGACAATTAATTGACTTCAAGCAAAATTAACACACACAACAGCAAATGAAATGCTTGGATCACCTGAACAGATAGCAAGCTCAACTTTCCTGTTTTTAATTTTCTTGAATCATGGTAGCTTCTTTAAGTTAATGTTTTATTCAAACTAAGCAAATAAACTCCAAGTCTGACAAAACCAAACAGCATCATTATCATGATACTTTAAAGTAAAAAATCTGAAAACAGGTAAAAATCTTCAAGTTTACAGAAGAAAAAAAACTACTCTTCATAAATAATCAAATATGATTATATTTTTTTGGAAAACCTGATGCCAACAATTGATGCAATGGTTATGAAAAAAAGAAACTAATACAACAAAACATCCACGTAATTAAAAATTGCACATTACAAAAATACTAGGCATTTTTGACACAATTCATGTACATATACATGCGCACAGTCACAAGAAGAATATCACAGAATTATAATTATGTGTACATGTCCTGTGTGTAAACAGGTGAAAAGAGGTAAGAAATAGGAAATCACCAATATCATTTCTGTCTTGATATTAGGTTATCAATTTCTCAAAACTTCTCAAAAGTCACGTACAGCTTTAACCAATTAACACATAATTCACTCCTGGACGAAGTTAGCATGAGATTATTTTACAACTGTGATGAAATCCTATGGTGTTACCATTAAAAAAAAAAAAACCTCTTCAGCAGTACTTTCACATGGTACTACAGTGAAAGCTCTACCAAGCGGACCCCCAATTAAGCGGACACCCTCTGTTAAACGGGTACTAAGCCTGGTCCCGAGATGAACATCTGATGTTTCCTTTATAACGAACCCCTATTTAGCAGGCACCTCCATTAAGCGAATGCGGACACAAATAAGTTGTATTTGGCTAATTTCTATTGTTAAAAACCTCTATTAGGCGGACATCGGACTGAATTGATAATAGTAAACTTATTGGATTACGTCCTTGAAATATGTACTGAAGTCAGTTAATGTTTTTGCATTTACAAACAAATTAAAGTTAGTAATGAAAGGTAATGAATTTGAACTCTGGATGGCTTCTTTAGCAACATGCAACTTTATCACAGTACAGAGTAACCGTTGAATGTTGAATGCGCAATTTTTACAACCTCTATTAAGCGGACACCCTCTATTGAGCAGACACTTGGGAAGGTCCCGAAGGTGTCTGCTTAATAGAGTTTCACTGTATTAATTTATTATGTAGCTCTAACTTTTGAGTCTGTGGATGAAATCCTATGGTGTTACCATTTAAATGAAACCTCTTCAGCAGTACTTTCACATGGTGCTATTTATTTAGTATGTAGTTCTAACTTTTGAGTCTGTGGATAAAATCCTATGGTGTTACCATTCAAATGAAACCTCTTCAGCAGCACTTTCACATGGTACTATTTATTTAGTATGTAGTTCTAACTTTTGAGTCTGTGGATGAAATCCTATGGTGTTACCATTCAAATAAAACCTCTTCAGCAGTACTTTCACACGATACTATTTATTTAGTATGTAGTTCTAACTTTTGAGTCTCTGGATGAAATCCTATGGTGTTACCATTCAAATGAAACCTCTCTGGCAAGATAGTTAAGATAGTTATAGTTGTTTCAAGTATAAAAAGATATTTGATTATCTCTATGAATTTTCTCTTTGGCAACTATTACGGTAGGTGAACAGGCTGTACATGTGAACTCACAGTTTAGATTCATACTTTCCTCTAAAAATTTTGGTATTTAACCCCCCTTCCCCCCATTGTAATTTCCAATGACCCTCATTGGGTCAGGAATGGATATTATACTATACATCACAGGGCTCAAAATTGCAACTGATACAGTAGCCAATGTGACTAACATTTTCTGCTTGGTGACTAAACATTCTGGTTGGTTGCCACTTAGGCAACCAGATTTCTCTGTGATTTAGATTTAAAGTAAAAGAGTAAAGTTAAAACAAACATTTCATCTTATCTTGCTTTGCTTTCATCATAAAGATGTGCCAAATCGCATTCTAAATACCTGACCAAAAGATCCCTTTCCAATCAATGACTCTATTTCATAACGATCAAACCACTTTTCTCCCGCTTTTATAACATAGTCAAAATTTTCATCATCATATCCATCATTGTATAATCGCCTTTCTTTCTTGTGTCCACCCTCTTCATTTTTCTCTAACTCCTTCCGTTTCTTTTTCTTAGCATAGTACACCTAAAAGAATATATAACAACCCGGTAAATGACCTCGCTCACCATAAATTTCCCTGTAGTCCAATGGTTAAAGCAGGTTGTGTCTCTATATTACTGAACCATGCAGGCTTACAAACCTTTACACATACCATTTACTTTGGCAAACGTTCCCTTCCTAAAGGACAATTGTAGTAAATGACACACGCTAGTCTAAAGGGTCCTTTACTAGCCCTAGGCTATCGGACTCTGCACTCTGTAACCTACCATAGGGAGTGGAAGCTTCGGTATGAAAGGGGAAAGGTTTGTTTATTCACTTAAGTAGAGGTGTAAATTCAGTGTGTAAATTGGGGTGTAAATTGAGGTGTAAATTGCAGATTTTGGTGTCATGAAGGGCATTCAGTACAAGTTATACCAAGGTATAAGCAGAGTATATAGTTGTTATTCACCAAGCATAGGGTCAAGATGGGTAGATATTGGCCATGTTAGTTCTTACATCTTATAAACTGAGATGACGCTAGGGTCAATAAAAATGCAAAAAAATAAATAAAAAAATGAGGCCAATATCCAGCCATCTTAGTGACTGAACAAGCTTTGTGATGGGAACTTTTTCTTGCGGGACCAATGCACAAAATAGGCCATCTTGCCCACAAGGGTAAACACAGGATTTGCTTCATCTTGGCTGG